CAGGTCCATGCTATTGGGACGTGATCCCAGGGAAAACCCAGAAATCTGGAAAAGCCGTGGGATCCTCCAAGAAAAACTGGAGCGTGTCCACGAGGAGAGGGCGGTCTGGGCTTCCCTCCTGGACACGTTTTAGTTGTTAGACCAGCTGATCTAGTCAGAACAATCTCTCCTTTCCAGTCCCGTCTGCAGGGCAGCATGATGTCTTATCGACATGACTCACAGAGAAAGATTCAAACGCACAACATAATCGATCAAATCAAATGTGCCACCAAGGCTCCCAAATACCTAAACAGCAAGTAGGGCACGATGACACATGAAACCAGACTCGATGTGAGGGGAGACCACCGTGCTAATTGGGGACAAAGACCAGGAGGATGAGTAACGCTGGTACAAACTAGCAAAAAGCAAATAACGAATCAGAGAAAAAGCTAAACTAAAGCTGAAATCGGACTGTTGCAACACCACACACAGCATTGTTTCTTTAAATGCCTAAAACCTGCTTTTGGGAGGGTTTGAAACCAAATAAAGACGCAGATAAATATAGCAAAAAGGTCATTTCAGGGCTTTGAACAACCTTGGTTTGGAGAAAATGAGATTATTTGAAATGAAACACAAAACCTTCTGGTTAGTTGGAGAGGAGCCATTAAAAAAAGTCATAAAACAACATCAGTCATTTAGTGAAAGTATTTTCACACACGTTTTGAAAAGCTAGCTACTGCAGCACAGAAGAGCCACCTCCACGGGACAGGACTCAGCAGTTCATTTGCATCTAAAGGACAAAGGTCACTCTTTCGAGGTTGCCAACGTTCACATTTTGGACAGAGAGGACAGATGGTTTGAAAGAGGAGTAAAGGAAGCCATTTATGTCCACTGTGAGCAACCATCTTTGAACAGAGGTGGTGGTTTACGACACCAACTGTCTGCCATCTATAATCCAGTTGTGAGATCCCTTCCCAGATGCCTCAACGCCCACGCATATCCTGGGCCATCTGACCTCAGGAATTCACATGATAGGGTGGGGCCAGGCTTCACAATGAGCTCACCCGAAACTCTGGCTGAATAGGACCCACACCCACCCTCACACCTTGGCTCATGTGTTTATGTAGAAGATCATCAGGGGGTCTTTTGTTCCCTCTTCGGGGGGAAACTCCCACTGGGTTTACATCTGGGACTCTCCACCATTTGACCTTAGAACTGAAGAAGCCTCTCGGATGAGAGGTGAAACGTCTTCAAGCAACTTAAAGAAGTCCAGACGCTTTTCTTTCTAAGCTCCTTAGACTACAATGACCTGGATGACTGAGAACCTTCACAGACATATAGCTACTGCAGCACTTCTGGCATTTCAAAAACAGATCATAAAATTCATTTTGGTGAATTTAAGAGATTGTTTAAGAAACCGTCTCCTTCCAGCTGCCAGACAAGCTTTCAGGACACGTCAAACACACTTCATATTTCAAAATCCATATTTGTTATCAGTAAAGCCAACGAGTGTGTTCTTATTCCTAAAAGCCCGACGTCTTTAGTCGTCTCCTCTCAGATTCCTTCAGATTTGAAACCTCTGCTGAGGTGTTTTCTTCGGTGAGGCACAGGTAAGGCTGAGTTTCCTCACCCAACATGACATGTCAGAGCAATTTGGATCCATGCAGAAACTCCTGTTACACTCTAATGCAAGCATGACTGACAGCCTCTTTATTTAAGTAAAGATGCTGTCAAAAGCGATTAACTGTTGTGATCCCACACACAAGGATGAGCATGCCATAAACTACCGATGCACCAGCAACGAGCCTCATTTCAGGGGTTTATCCGTTAACTCCTCGTGGATAAAACTCATACCTAGGAATGTCTGATATCATCGATCTTATCGGTCGATATCGGCTTTAAAATTTAATATGGACCAAAGGCGGTTTTCAGTCTTTTGATGACACATTCACACGACAGTATACAGCAAACTCTTCAGCTACTTCTCTCTCTCTCTCTCACTAAGTCAAAATATGACAGATGTGAGGTAAAGGTGTTGAGAAATGTTTGTTTATTTGGCAGAAACTGGAGAAGAAGCTTGCCCTGTGTAGTGAACGTACGCTGTCCTCGCAGCACGTAGCTACGCGTCGCTAGCCCGCTAACAAATGACTTAAAAAAAAAACAAGAAACCCATGGCTTGCTTGTCTGATCTGAAGATCACGCTTAGGGAGGATGAGATTCAGCTGCTGTTGGGGACAAAATAAACACTTTTCCTGTCACTATTCCAAATTTAAATAGTTTTCACTTTTCATAGAAAATGTTTCAAATGTAAGCGTGAATGAAAGAGGAAATGTGATGTTAGTAAACTAAAATGTAAAAAAAAATATTTTATGAGAGGGGGACACATATATCAGTAATAGAAATCAAGGTCAGACAATATCGGTAGAAATCAGGCCCCCAATCCTGGGAATTTCATGAAGCCAACACGGTAGTGGCAAACGTTGTAGTTCCACCTTCATCCACTAGGGGCTGGCACCAGAAGTAAGCAAATCCTCATTGAATCCAATGTTAAAAATGCCAATTTCACAGCCTGGTTCAAAAAACCATCTTAGGTTTAATAGATCTATTTTACGTCATGACCACTCTGAGGGGAGTGAAGTTTTTGTAACTCTTCTGTTTAATGCTTAAACCACAGCTCTTTTAGTTGATGCTGCTTCACTTTTGAGTCACTTAACCGCTCTTTTCTCGCTAATAGTTTGCTGGTTGAACGGAGGGAAATCCTATTTGTTTACCGTAACACTGCTTGGTCTAAGATAGGTTGAAATATAACATGTTGGTGTGGCTGATGGGCAACAATATCTGACCGAGGATAGCAGTGGCTATTGGGCTTTGCTGGTCCACTGCAGTCAAAAATCTACGAGTCCACCACTGTCAACGGTCCCGGCCAGGAGCCTGACATGGAGCCGGGAGTCGAGCCGACGCTCCCAGAGCCGGGACCGCCAAAAGCGGCGTACGTGGATCTTTGACCAGGTGACCAGGGAAGCCCAATATCCTCGTCAGTTTTCCTAGTTATAATTTCATTACTAAGCAGGCCGGAGGTGCCTTCACTTTGGAGTCACTCTGCCACGCTTTTCTTGCTAAAATGCTCAGTAAAACTCCGTTAGCTTTGAGTTAGCATGTAGCTAGTGTCCCGCTGGTGTCCGACCGTGGAGCATGAGCTGATGTAAAACGCCAAGGCGCCCAGCTACAGTCGCAGCGGTCTGAGGCTCTGCTTGTAATTTAACAGTCCTAGTCCATATTAGATCTCCACAGGCGACCAGCATGACCACAGCCTCGCACGAAAGCCAGTGAGCCCTGCGGGTGGGCTACCCTGGTCCTTGGAGCCCCTTCATAGCTTCTTTGGTTAGCTAAGTTAGCTAGCAGCTACATTGGTTTATTTGTTCCAACTATAACAGCCCCACCCTCAGCTCCAGCTCTTTCCGCATTTTCAGATTGTCTGGGCGTGACGAGATGTGTGACACGGTCAAAATGGTGGTGGTGGAAAAACAAAAAAACAAAACTCATCATTTTGGACATTATTTGTCCAATATGTATGTTGATGGTAAAAAGACCCGTGTCGAACATCTTTACTCACACTTGTTTGACTTTTATCACCTTGTAGAAAGCCAACGTGACTTAGTCTAGAATTGAATTACTTACAATTAAAGGCAGAAACATGCAATCTGTAAGATTTTATGATTTGTTTTTATTTTGGTTTGAGATCTGTAACAGCAGGACTCCAGAAAATAACTGACTTAGTCTTTTACTTTTGTTTGAGCCAACCCGAACTCTCTAACGGCCCAACCCGGACCTCTCTGGTGGTCATGCATGGAGGAAGACGAGACTCCAGACGGTGGACATGGGCCGGCGGGATTCTCACCTCACCACACATGTGGACCGTTTTAGAACTACCTTGTGATTTTACCGGACCAACACAGGGGCGCCTCCAGAAAATGTTGATGGGGTGGCCAGATGGGCTCCTCGAAATTTTTGGGGTGGCACATCAAATTGGTCCTTGTGGCCACTCTGGGAGAATTTAGTCTGTGGTGATGTACTGCATTGCGCCTTTATTCGTTTTTATTAAAATAACAGTACATATCCAAAACATTTAACTTAAATTTTACAAATGCAACCATTTTAGAAAAATACGTTTCAGTTATTTAAAATGTTACCCCAAATTTAATTTAAAATTTAGTTTTTTTAGGTTAATTCACCTGTTGCAGTGTTCACACAAAAAAACCTATGGAGATAAAAACTTTTTTAAAACGGTGAGCAGCCGAAACATATGAATATTGTTTTAATCTGATTATTTCTTTACTCATTAATTGTAAATTTTTATTTTGTTTTACAATTATGTCTTGAATAAACATTGGTTTGACTGAACATTTATATGATTTGTTAACACTGGCTTTTCCTGTGGGGGCCAGCAATTTTCTAGGGGTGGCCATGGCCACCCCTGGCCACCCCTTGGGGGCGCCCTTGGACCAACACCAGCCACTTACAGAGGAGGACGGATAGGACCTCTGCACCTATTCCTGCTAACAAACGGATCCCAGCCTACAGGTTTTCCTAACATAAAGGCAGAAAGGGGGTGGGAATGGTCTTCCTCATCCAACATGTGTTTTCAAGGTTTCAAAACAAATATGGGGAACTATATTTCAACCGTGCACATTGCGGGTGGGATGCATCAACCGTGGTGGGCGGTGAACGTGCATGGAGCAGATCCACAAATCACCACTTTCCATCAGATTTGTGTTTTATCTGTTGATAAAAGGGAAGAACAACACCTCGAACAAGATACACTAATCTCTAACACTTATCAATGTTTCCCCGCTAATATCTCCCCCCCTAGTTTCCCCCCACCCCCCAACCATCCCTACAACCCAACACACACACGTATACGTCACGCTCTCCCAACACAACATTGGAAGTACCGGCCGCCCTGCAATGTGTTGCCGTGTGATACTGAGAGAGGGCAATTCAGCTCCTCATAAAGGCCTGGCTATAATCTCCTCCCAAAGACAGGTCCACCAACCTCGGCGTGTCCTCACCGCCGCGCTGCACCTACACACACGCACGCCAACGACTTAAAGCTGCACCCAGGAGTGACACGCACTATTATAAATAGTCTAATCTATATGGTAATAGTGTTGTATTCTACAAGCAGAGAATGGGGATAAGATAACATTGTGACTTGGGGGTTTGTACTGGCTTCTATGGTAATTGTTATCAAAGGTTATTTGGGATGACATCGGCGGCTCCTTGTGATTGGCTGGGACCTGTTATTTACGATATGAATTATGATAACCATGATGTCTCTCTGTTCCTCTGCCTCGCCAGGCGCCAGATACAATAAATTGCTATCGTTAATAACGGCGCTTTGTTCTGCCATGATTACCCCCTCCACCGCAATAAGAGTTTTATTTAAAGGAGAATATGGATTTGTCATCCTTCTGGCAGCAAAATGAAACTGACAATATTTTATGTCCTGACATTTAATTTGTAAAAACGGACGCGGGCTGCATTTGCATTTCGTGACACCCTCCTCCTCTTCCTCCCGCTCACGCTGATCTCTCTCTCCTCCCTCCTGCTCGATGTCTTCCTCTGCTTTCTGTTTGCAGAGTGGAGGTGACATTTGTGGATCAGGTTGGGGCTGGAATGAGAGCAGAAGGAAAGAAAAAGCGAGGCGATGAATGCTTTTGAATGTCGGCCAGAGTTTGTGCGGTTTGGTTGCTTGCTGTTATTTGGCGTTATCACATCTCCTGTCCAATAAAAGGAGCCAAAAATAGTTCAGCTGGGAAATGTGTGTTATTGATTTCTATGAGAATAGAGCGCACGTGGTTCTCTTATCACTGTGGTTCATCCTTACTGATAACTAGATAATATTAGTATTTGAATATCCAACATTAGTGCTGCAGAAGAAAAAAATGGTTCCAATTTTTACATTTGATCTCCTTTTAACCCTTTAATTGCATAAAATACTGAGATATTAATGCAAATTACTATTAACATGAAATTATTTGAAAACAAAATGGTAAATTGTTCTAAAAGCCCCCCAAGGCGCTTCACAACACAATCAGTCATCCACACGCTGGTGGGGATTCAAATCAATTCAATTCAAGTTTATTTATATAGCGCCAAATCACGACAAGGGTCGTCTCAAGGCACTTCACATAATAAACATTCCAATTCAGTTCAGTTCATTAAGCCAATCAGAAAAAAGTTTCCTATATAAGGAACCCAGCAGGTTGCATCAAGTCACTGACTAGTGTCAGTGACTATACAGCAATCCTCATACTAAGCAAGCATTTAGCGACAGTGGAGAGGAAAACTCCCTTTTAACAGGAAGAAACCTCCAGAGAATCCTGGCTCAGTATAAGCAGCCATCCTCCACGACTCACTGGGGATGGAGAAGACAGAGCAGACGCAGACACACACACACACACACACACACACACACACACACACACACACACACACACACACACACACACACACACACACACACACACACACACACACACACACACACACACACACAGTAGTGTTTCTATGGTTACATTGTGATTTCTTAGTAAATATTCTTATTTGGTGAGAGATAAACTTTATTGTATTAATCCTAGTGGATCTATAATTAAACGGGTAAACTAGTAGTAGCACATCCAACGTCAAGGAAAGTAATTCAATTCAAAAATACTTTATTAATCCCAGTGGGAAATTGATTATGTTGAACATTTTATTATCAGGAGAGAGAGAATGTTTTAGTGGTTAGCAGCAGTGTGCTAGACGATGGCCCCCTCCATGAGGCCACCACCGCTCAGCAGAACATCGTTGTAGCTTCTTCTGGGGAGAAAAACACTTAGAGAGAAAATAAAGTTAACAGCTGAAATAGCAGAAAATAATACAGTTAAAGAGCAGATTGTAGAAGAAAGTAGTCGAGTGTGAAAAGTGGTCAGTGTATCCTCCAGCAGTCTAAGCCTATAGCAGCAGAACTACAGAGATAACTCTGGATAATCTATCCTATTTAGATGGAGGCATGTTGGAGGCAGGGCAAGGGAGAGCCGTCTTTACCGACTGTACACTCCACCTCCCTCTACTCCCCCACTGGTCCAGATTTAGGCTAACATCAGATTTTAACTATAAGCCCTATCAAATAAAAATGTTTTAAGCCTAGTCTTAAAAGTAGACAAGGTGTCTGCCTCACGGACTAAAGCTGGGAGCTGGTTCCACAGGAGAGGAGCCTGATAACTAAAAGATCTGCCTCCCATACTAAGTTTAGATATTCTGGGAAACACCAGTAAACCTGCGGTCTGAGAGCGAAGTGCTCGGTTAGGAACGTATGGAACAATCAGATCACTGATGTATGATGGAGCTTGATTATTAAGAGCTTTATATGTGAGAAGAAGGATCTTAAAATCTATTCTGAATTTAACAAGTAGCCAATGTAGGGAAGCTAAGACAGAATGAGCTACAATGGAGCCAAAGCTTCCCTGAGGTGCACTGATGGTGGCGAGGCCTGCTAAACACGGGCACCACTAGTCCCTCCTATCACCATCACCACGCAAGGTGGGTTCAGTGTCTTACCCAAGGACACCAGCAGCAATCTCTGATGGAAGTCAGGATAGAACCTGCAACCTTCCTATTACTGGACAACCTGCCCTGCCACCTGAGCTACTGCTGTCACTTACAGGAGCATGGGGCAGGATTTGTACAAAATCAAGAACAAAAATAGGATGCATGTTCATTCTTGTGAAGCTGATGTGCGATGCTGTCCTACGGATGTGACATCAATTGACGAAGCTTGCACGTTCGACAGTTTAAAACAGGAAGAAATTGTTGTCCACACTCCAGATCGCTAGGTGGCAGTAATGCACCATAAAACCCTAAAAAGTAGAAGAAGAAGTACTACGTGAACAGATTCTACCACAGCATCAAGAGCTAAAAACCAAAGGGACCTGATTCTATTTTGGATACGTGATCGACGGTAAAAATATTTACCTTTCACGTTTTTTGGAATTTCATGAGCGCATCCTTTATGGGAAAATCCCACGACTTGACCATGTTTTTCAACAGGGACAACACGTGAGGAGCATGTCAGTGTATTTACGCAAACTGTGCCTGGTACAAGTATGCTTCTCACATGTGGTTCTATCCCAAAGGCTTCACATGTAAACGGCCATCGGCTTCACATTTACCATGAAAATATTCCAAATTCATACAGGAAATGTGTGCAAAACACAGGTGATCACATGTCTCGCATATTAAATTTCACATGGGCAAAAGATGCTTCACATGTGCAGTTTTACCCATGCAATAGTAGTTTTTGATGTGTACATTAAAATCTGCTGCACCAGCCTGTCAGTTAAAAGGGTCAAAGTCCAAAATCTCCTCATAATAATTTAGTTTTGTTACTGAAAATGTAAAAGAAGAAAAAAATCTTTTAAATAGCGCCTCTCAAGATAGAAAAAATCATGAGGCACTTCAAAAGAACAAAAATAAATAAATTAAAATGATTAAAAACATCATAAAAAATGAAACAATTGTGATTAAACAAATGCAAGGAAAGGGAAAGAGAAAATAAATAATAAAGGGGTAATCCGTGGATCCCAGGAAGGGCAGAATAGGTAGAAAGAGTGGAATAAGGAGAGGGTGATGAAGGTCACACCAAAACCTGAACAGGTGAGTTTAAAGGAGACCACTGAGTCCACTGATCTAAGGGTCAGGGGGAGAGAGGTCCAGAGTCTGGGGGCCACAGCAGCAGATGATCTGTCACCTTTGGTCTTTAGCCTGGTGCTGCACAACCAGTAGGCTTTGATCACTGGACTTGGGCCTAGTCCACACGTAGCCGGGTTTTTTGAAAACGAATATCCGCCCCTCCAAAAACTTGCATCCACACCACCTCGTTTAAAAAAAACTCTGTCCACACGTACCCGGATAAATACGTTGTTAAGGACATGCCAGACCTGTAGGCGGCAGTACTTCCCCCGTTCTTAACCTCGTCCTTCGTCTGTGGTCTTCCACAAGGAGCAGTAATTCCGCTTGCAAAAACAAACAAGCAAAAAGCGCTTGGACAATTGATAAAGCGAGCGCAGCTCTGAGGGCATCCATGCTGTCGGCTAGTGTAAACACAGGTCGCACACGTGATGTCAGCATTTTTTGTCGCGGAAAGTGACGTTGCGGACCTTAAAACTCCGGTTTTGTCTGTCCACACGCAGACACCCAAAACTGAGAAAACGCAGATCTTCACTTTAGCCGGAGTTTTTAAAAAGATCCGTTTTCGTGTGAAAAAACTCCGTTTTCGTGTGGATGACAGGCCAAAACGTAGAAAAATATCTACGTTTTGGCAGATCCCCGGCTACGTGTGGACAGGGCCCACATCAAACAATAAAAACCATCCTATCAAAGCTAAAAGCACTAAACATTTCATAGTTTTAGTTTAAAATCTTAACTCTCGTTTATAAGGCCCTCCAGGGCAGTGCCCCCTCGTACATTACTGCACTTTGCAGAGGTATGCTCCGTCTCGGTCTCTTGGCTCAGCCGAGCAGGAACTTCTGGTGGTCCCCCGGTCGAAATATCGATCGAGGGGTTGTCGTGCTTTTTCTGTTCTGGCTCCAACTCTGTGGAACGAATTGCCACTGAGCATTAGGCAGGCACCATCCCTTCAAGTTTTTAAGTCTCGTTTAAAGACTCATTTTTATTTGATTGCGTTTTAGCGCTAGGGTTCTTTGAAGTGCCCTGACATTATGGTTTTAATTCTTCTTCTTTTTAACCCAGATGCTTGATTTTATTTTGTCCACCATTTGTTTTTGATCGATTCGTCTTATTTCCGTTATCTCTCTTTATTTGTAATAGTGCTTGCTTGATATTTTATGATTTTATGTTTTTATCTTGCTTTTATGCCCATGTACTGTGAATGTTTTTCTTATGATGATGCTGTTCAGCACCTTGGGCTTCCGATAACGTTGTGGAAGGTGCTGTACAAATAAAATGCGATTGATTGATTGATTGATAGTTTTGGATGAGTCATGTTTCACTTCTCTGCCGCACCACGTCTGCAGCTTCCCACCGGCTGAAAGCCAACATTAGATCCTGCTTTTGCTTTAATTAGCACGAGGTCTGATAGCATCGTATCATGAAAGAAGAGTGGCCCAGACTGTGGCGCAAATCTAGCAGAGGATTCCAGGAAATAAAAATAGATGGGCTTGCTTCATGCACATGTGTGATCTACTGCAAGCAGGTCTAAGATGATCTTGTAGCTGAATTTAAAAGCTCAGGATTATGACGTGCTTTGATTAGAGAGGTAAAAACTTTAAATTAAGGCTTCTCCACAGTAAAACTACCAGGTTTCACTGAGACAGAGGACCCAACCAGGTGAGAGAGAGGAAAAGGCTGCCCAAAACCTAGAACGTCAACTTTTAGTTGCAGAACTGAGGCAGAGTTTTACAAACAAATCTGAAACTAGAACACCTGACATAAGGGAGCTTAAATACTACAGAGGGAGAGGAGGAACAGGTGCGCTGATTGGTGATAATTGGCAGCAGATGTGCATGGTTAGCCAGAGGAGCTGAAGAAAAGCCAAAAGAAACAGACACACAGAAAAATATCTGACAAAAACTTGTTATCCAGAAAAGTCAGGGTGTGTATGTATATATA